ATCTCACCGGCTCAAGGTTGACTCAGCCTTCCATCCTTCCGAGGTGGGTGAAATGAGGACCCAGACTGTGGGGGTGATATGCTGACTCTGTAAACTGCTTAGAGAGGGCTGGAAGCCCTATGAAGCGGTATATAAGTCTAACTGCTATTGCTATCTCCTCTCAGGGTCGAGATGGGTCTGCCACTTGCTGGAGCAGTCCAGGAGGGGGGAGGGGTTCCCCGGCCTTGTCTTCATTGGTGCGCAAGTGGCACAACTCTTGACATAGTCCTCAACATCTTTCTTTTCGGCCACCAGAATTGTCGCCTGGCCATGTGCAGGGTCTTCAGGTAGCCGAAATGTCTAACTTGTCTAGAGTTGTGACTTTGTTGAAGGATCTGGAGCCACTTGCTGTTGGGCATATACAATTTAAACGCCTTCCAGCCCAGTCCATCCTTAAGGGTCAATATTTCCTGGTTGTCCTTATACCATGAGTCATCTGGTAGTTCGTTTTTCAGCTTTTGTGTTACCTGACCTTTTTTGGGAAGAGTTTGTGGGGTTTCTTTAGAGCCTCTAGGTTTTGTTAGCGGTCCATACTTCAAAAGGCATGCAACCATCCTCAAGGAAATGTCTCCAGGTCAGGAAGGCCCAGTGGATCATGTAAGTTTCCTTCTCCCATACTGTTCACCTCCGCTCAGTCTCAGTCAGTTTCCTGGAGGTGTACACGCAGGGATGTAAGATATCCTCTGTGTCTTTCTGGAAGAGGACCGCTGCGATGATTGTCTCTGGTGTCAGCTTGGATCACAAAAGGCTGGTCTGGGTCAGAGAGCTTGAGGGTTGACTCTTTGGCGAACAGTCTTTTCAGCTGCTCGAAGGAGCACTGGCCTTCCAGGGTCCATTTCAGAGGCTGACTTGGCCATGGCTGTTGCGGACCCCTCCCCATCTTCAACAGTTTGATGATAAGCTGTCAGCGAAGGCGGGGATTAATTACCAGTAGAAATTCGCAAACCCTAGGAAACTTTGTAGCTGTTGGCACATGCGTTGGGATTGCCAATTGACCGTCATAGACTTTTACTTTGCCTGAATCCATCTCTACCCCTTTGTTTGACACTTGATAGCCCAGGTAGTCTAGGTGGGTCTTGTAGAATTCCCATTTTGACAGCTTTGTGTATAGTTTGGCTGCCAGAAGCTTTTGCAACACCTGGTGCACCAGCTTCATGTGCTCCTCTAGAGTTTTGGTAAGGATGAGAATGTCATCCAAGTACATGAGGACCTCTTTGTACAGATGGTCATGAAGTGCCTCATTTATCAGTTACATGAAGTGCTATGTATGGGTGCTCCCTGCAACCCAGAGGGCATCACTTTGAACTGGAAGCTACCAAGAAGGCAATTGAAGGCAGTCTTCCACTCGTCTTCCTCTCTGATCCGAACCCTGTAGTACACCTCTCATAGGTCCAGTTGGGTGAATATTTTCTCTTTGGCTAGGTGGACCAACATGTCCTTCATGAGGGGGAGTGGGTATGTGTTCTCTACACATACAGCATTGATTCCCCTAAAATCCATGCACAGCCTCATCGACCTGTCTTTCTTCTTGAAGAGGACCAGAGTGGCCATTTTAGATTTTGCCAACTGGATGAATCCATGGGCTAGATTGGTGTTGATGTACTTCCTTAAGTCCTTCATTTCTTATGGGTCATGGAGTACATCTTCAGTTTGGCCAGTTTGGCCCTCAGTACGAGTTTGATGGGACAGTCCGTCAGACAGTAAGTGGCAGCACGTCTGCATGCTCTTCGCTGAGTGCCTCTGCAAGGTCCTGGTACTCCCTAGAGACCTGGGGGGCACTGGGGGGGGGGGCAGTTGCGTAGCAGCTGTAGCCTTCTCAGCTTGCTTAGCATCATCTCATGGTGGGAGGCCTCTTCGGCATTTGGACTTGGGGGATGCAGTCCTACCTCAATCGATATCTCTCGGTGACCATTCCTCCAGGTGATGATGGGCACCCACTTGTCCAGCCATGCCAACTCTAGTATCATCGTCTGCCTCATTTGGGTGCTAGTATGAAGCGGAGGCTTTCCTGGTATTGACCCATTTTCAGTCTTATGGGTTCAGGGAGGAACTTGGCAGAGGTCTTGCTATTAAAGATCTATTGACCTATTCAAAATGTATGCGTTGGGTCAATTTCTTCATCCTGATCCTGTTTTAGGATGGTAGACAGAGTGATTAAACAGCGGGAATAACCTTTGTCGATTACCGCCTCTAGTTCCTCATGGGCCCCGGTCTTTGGTGCCATTATAGAGCCGAGGTGGCGCAGTGGTTAAATGCAGCACTGCAGGCTACTGCTAGATCAGCAGTTCAGCGGTTCAAATCTCACCGGCTCAGGGTTGANCCTTTTTTTCTTTCATCTCTTTTTCTTTCTTTTTTTCTTTTTTTCTTTCTTCCTTTCTTTCTCTTTCTCTCTCTGTGTGAGTCTGTCTGTCTTTCTCTCTCTCTCTCTCTCTCTGTGTGTGTGTGTGTGTGTCAGTGGTGGGTTTCAAAAAAAATTTGGAGCCTCTTCTGTAGGTGTGGCCTGCTTTCCGGGTCCACTGGTGGAACCTCTTCTAACCGGTTCGGTAGATTTGACGAACCGGTTCTACCGAACTGGTGTGAACTGGTAGGAACCCACCTCTGCTATAATGTAAGACAAATGAATAACATAAAATGGAAATTGTTCCATTTCAAAAAAACAATTTTGACGGAGTTAGGATTTTTTTTTAAAAAGAGTCAGTACTCTTCAGGAGCTTAGGAATTTAGAGAGCCTGGCCTTAGCCTAAAAGGGTTCTCCTCTCACATCCAAATCAGACATGCATTCAAACTGTAGATAACCAGACCATTTCATCTAGAAGCAGTAGTAGGCGCTAAAGAAAGAATTTAAATGAAAATGGTCTTTTTTTTAAAAAAAGAAAGAAAGAAAGAAAGCCTCCGGGATTCCTGGATCCACCAACATGATTATTTTCCAAAAGAGGGTGGTTTTTTTAAAGAAAGGAAGGAAGGAAGGAAGGAAGGAAGGAAGGAAGGAAGGAAGGAAGGAAGGAAGGAAGGAAAGGGTTTTATATTAATCAACTGAAATTCTATCTAGGCAAAATCTTCCTTTTCAATAAGTACTAGACAAACAACACAGGGGGAACTGGGAGAAGTCGAGTTGGAAAGGACAAACTAGGCCACCAAATTAAAGTAATCCTGATAAGATATCCATCCATATGGCAAGGAAGGAAGGTGGAAAAACCATATCATTGGACTTTCAGTGACTTAAATATGGCTACTAATGCCTCTCCGGGTTTAGATCAAGAAAACATTTGAAGAGCCAGTTTCCAGGAGGAAAAATAGCATATAAAGGGTGGAATCAATTTATGAAGCATAGCTGGCCCTGTCTTGTTTTAGGGTTAAAGAGTTCCTCTTTTAAGTCTTCACACACATCTCCCACTGCTAGTTACTGCAACAAAGATGACTGAAGCAAGGAATTAGTAGGGCCATTTGTATTTAGCTGTGGCTATCTCTTTAGATCTCTTCAGCTCACCTACTGCATTCGGCAAAACAAAACCATTTTACCCACATTCTGCAAAAACTGGAGGACACCCCCAGCGTGGGGACCCAGACAAGCCTGAAGCTCAGAGCTTCACAAAGACAAACCCGCAAAGCTTCGCAAAGGCAAACCCACAAACCCACAATACATTTTGAATGTATTGCATTTAAAAAAATATTTTATATGCAATAATACCCAGTAAACACCTGTTTTCCTCTCCTTCCTGCCCAAATTTGATTGCATACCTCCCCTCCCCCCCTTTCGAGTTAAAAGCAAAGATGTCCTAGAAATACCCTTTGGTACCCTTCAAAGGGGAATTGTTCTGCCATTCACTGGGGGCGGGGGGGGGGGGGCGCTGTCTTTTCCTTCCCCAGGTCCTGCATTCCTCCCAGCCGCCTCCTCCTTTGCCCCTCCTCCCCAAACCTGAGCCTTGCCCCGTCCCCATTTTCCCCTAGCTCATCCCAAATCATCTATTCAGGATTTTATCTCTTTTCCTCTTTTAAAAGATAATCTGGTAACCCGCCCCGCCCCCCATTTGCACCCATTCAGATGCCTAAAAAAGCAGGCTTCAAGAGAAACCCCTCTCCCGACTTGGGATTTCAACACCCCATCCCGCATGACTGCTGGTTTATGAAAAGGGGTCCAATCCAGGGGTGAAATTCAGCAGGTTCTGACAAGTTCTGGAGAACCGGCAGCAGAAATTTTGAGTAGTTTGGAGAACCAGCAAATGCCACCTCTGGCTGGCTCCAGAGTGGGGAGGGAATGGGATTTTGCAGTATCCTTCCCCTGCCACGCCCACCAAGCCATGCCACGCCCACCAAACTGGTAGTAAAAAAAATTGAATTTCAACACTGGTCCAATCCTTCCCCCCTAACCTCACCCACCCTGCCCCCTTGGATTACATACATTATTCAGCCCCTTTCATTAATTCTGCACATAATTAATTCTGTAACTAGTGGTCCCATATATCCATAAGGTATATAATATAAATATATATGTGTTTGTGTGTGTGTGTATATCCCATCCAGCCCTGCTGTATATAACTCTATATAATGAATTCATAGTCGCTAATGAGCTAACCTATATATATCCTAACGTATATATTATAAATGCATGTATATACCTTATACCTTGTATCTTATATATCTATCTCGCCCACCAATCCTTTTGATTAACTCTAAATATAATTCTATTAAGGTTAAAGATTCTGTACATTATAATGTATACAATATAAATGCATGCACATACCATATATATATTTGATATATGCATACATGCATACATACATATAGATTATATACAAACACACACAAATATATACATACATACACACACATGTATTTATATTGTATACATATGTAGATGCATATACAAATACATACCCCCCACCCAGCATTTCTGCATAAAATTATATATATATATATATATATATAAGCTGTATTATCTAGGATCACTTTTTGTTACCTTAATAGAATTATATGCAGAGTTAATGAGGGGGTCCGAATTGGGGGGGATGGAACAGCCCAATGAAGCCATAAAACAGATATTAATTAAAAAGGACGCCTCCCCCTCAAAAAAAAACCCCTTTCCTGCAAGGGAGCCCCTTCCTCCACCACCACCCTGTGGAGAAGGCCCGGCCGAGCAGCATCCCCCCTCAGCCACCTCAAAGCAGCGTCCCTGCCCAGGGCGGGGGTCCCTCAGCCCCATAGGGAGCAGCTCCCTCGAGCCCCCCCATATCGCAGCCGCCCCGCCCCACAGCTCCCTAGCCGAGCCGCCTTGCCTCCCCCTTCCCAGGCCCTTCTTCTCGCTTTCCTCGCCGCGCGGGGGCCCTTTACCCGGCGACCGGGGTCTCACCCCTTCCTCTCCCTTCTCCTCCGCCCCTCAGGCTGTTTACCGCTGAAGCCTCTTCTCACCCACAGGGCGCCGCCATCTTGGCCCTGCCACCCTCCGGGCGCCGCTCGCGGATCCCTACGCGCCCGTCCCCCTCGCCGAGGAAAAAAATAGTCCCGAGTCAAATGACTACCCTTCCACCCCCAATCCGCCGCGACTCTCCCTTCACACACACCCAGGGGGTGGGTCTCCTCACCCTCCCGCGTCCGCTTCTCCCGGCGCCCCAGGAAGCGGCTTCGGAGGGCTCCCTCCGGGATGAAGGCGCGGAAGGATCAGGTCCGAGGGAGAGATAGGAGGAAAAGTCTCTCGTGATGCTGAGGAGGAGGCCGAGAAGAAGTCCCGGCAGAGAGGAGGAGAGGGGGAGGAGGGTCACGTGATGCGGCGGAGAGGCTGGCGGGGTGGTAAACAAGGGGCGGGGCGGGGCCAAAGGATCCCGAGCCACGCCCACCTGGTTGCTCGTGGCAACCGGGCCCGAGCCTTGCTGGAATGGTTTTCAAAGCGTCGGTGGGGGTTCTTTGGGAGAACTACACGCCCCATCAGCCACAGCCCCTGGCCCATGGGGAGGAATGCAAGGAAAAAGGACCCGTGCAACCGTTCTCCTTTCTCTTCCTTTGAATAAAGGACTCTTCCATGTCCCTCTTTCCACACACACAAACACACACAGGTAAAAACATTATCCCTGATTCTGAGTTCAAATTCAGCAAATAATAATAACAACAACAATAATAATTTATTGTCAGTGCACAAAATATGTACAATGAGATTGGTTGAGCTCCCTCTGTGCACACACACACACACACCCAACACAATATAATTCAGTAAAGACAAAAAGTCCAGAACCCAATAAATCATATTAACAAACACCCAGTCCTAGGGCAAATCAGAATTCTCCTCCTCCCTTTAAATAAACAGATCTAAGGTTGCAAATCTCTGATGGCCACAAGAGGGCAGCAGTACATCATATATTTTTTCTGCCTTTGCTGCCCCCTAGAGGTCATTTGAAGCAGTGCTGGGCTGTTTTGAATTCCCTGAATTCCCCAGACAGCGTGCACCCAAATCTCCAAAGTTGCCAGGATGTACAAGCACTGATTTATGGGGTTTGCAACCCTCATATGATCGTCCAGTGCTAAACTCCAATCCTGCCTTAACCAGTTTCACACAACTTGTCATGCCCTGTCTAAAGAAAAATGCATATATTCCTTGACTTACAATCGATTTTTATTTTATTTATTTTAATTGAAAAACATTACATTTTCTTCCATTACAATTACAAATCAAGCAAAGCCAAAGAAAAGTTAATAATAAATCTTAACACACAAGCTAATAACGATAACAATTATATATTAACAGTAATTACAGTAGTATGACCACAAAAAAAAAGCGTTAACTAAATTTCCACTTACATTAGCCTATTTACAATTTTTCCCATACTATAGTCATAGTTTTATACATCTTTATTTTCCATACTAACAATTATTGACAGTCGTAAAGTTATTTTCCCTCTCATTTCTACCTCTTGTCTGTATCCATTCATAAAATTTATTCCATCAGTGATAATATTTCCGTTGACTTACAATCGATTAATAACCGGCTGAAGTTACAATGGCCCTCCCCAAACTTGTTTATGACCCATGTTTGAACTCATAACGGCTGCACATAGGCCTGTGGTCATGTCACAATTTTGCCGCTTATCAGTTAGCTTATGGTCGTAAAGGCGAGGACTTGTCGTAAGTCGCTTTCTAAATTCCCATTGTTCACTGCATGACAGTGGTCAAGTGTCTTGAATTTTCACCACCATCTGGTCCACAAGGATGCAGTGGTGGGTTGCTGGCGGTACGCCCCGGTACAGGCGTACCGGAGGCTGCCCGGATACCGTTCCGGTACGGTGCTCCGGAGGGCCCACCCGCCCGCCCGAGCTCCTTACTGGTCTTTTAAGTCTTCAGCGCTTCTGCGCATGCACACGGCGCATTCAGCGCCTTCGCGACGCTCCGCTGAGCAGCTGGAGCGTCGCAAAGGCTCGCAGAGG